GGGACATGCTCTTAGCTTTGTGCTGAACATATGTCCTTCATTTCTTCTTTTTAATTTAAATTCTTTAATTACTACTCATATTTACATATCCATCTCCCCATTCCCTCACCCTCCCATCCTTCCAAGTTCCCAACGAACCCCCCAACCCATCCCCCAACTCACCCCCAGGGATAGTGAGGTCCTCCACCAGAGACCTTCAAAGTCTGTCATATAATTTGATGGAGGGTCTAGGCCCTCCTTGTTGTGTCTGGCCTGCAATAGGGAATAGGCTCCCAAAGTCCATTTGTGCTCTAGGGTTGAAGTCTGGCTTCACTGTTAGAGATCCCACAGACTGTCTTGACCTCCTAGCTGGCACCCCCATTCAGAGGGCTTGGTTCTATCCAATGCTGTTTCCCCAGCTTTATTACTAGGGTCTCCATTCTCTCACTAGCTCAGGTCTACTGTTTCTGTGGGTCTCTCAAGCACCGTCTTAGCTCCTTTGCTCATCCCTCCTCTTTCTCCACAACTGGATTCCAGGAGTATGGTTCAGTGCTTAGCTATGGGTGCCTGTTTCTGCTTCAAACAGCTACTAGATGAAGGCTCTGGGAATGGTAACCAAGGTATAAATCAATCTCATTATAGGGGAAGGGAATCAATGGCATCCTCTCCACCACTGCTTGGATTCTTAGTTGGAGTCATTCTTGTGGATCCCCTAACATTTCTCCTGTGCCAGACCTTTCTCCAATCCTGTACTATCTCCCTCTATCAAGGCTTCTCGTTTCTTGCCCTACTCTATTCCTCCCCTGTCTCAGTCATCTTGTTCTCCTCCCCCTCCCATTCTCCCCTTCCCAACTCCTTCCTCTCCACCCACACCCTGTGCTCCCACTTTGTTCAGAGGTTCTTTTCCCCCTCCCTTTTTTCGAGGGACTATGCAATCTTCTCTTAAGGTCCTCCTTGTTTCCTAGCTCCTATGGCAGTATGGACTGTAGACTGGTAATCCTTTGCTCTATGTGTAAAAATCATATATGAGTGAGTACATACCATGTTTATCTTTTTGTGACTGGGTTACCTCACTCAGGATGATTTCTTCAGGTTCCATCCTTTTGCCTGCAAATTTCAAGATTCCATTGTTTTGTTAACTGCAGAGTAATACTCCATTGTGTAAATATACCACATTTCCTTTATCAATTCTTCAGTTGAGGGGCACCTAGGTTGCTTCCAGGTTCTGGCTATTACAAATAATGCTGCTATGAACATAGTTGAATATATGTCCTTATAGGTTCCATCCTTTTGCCTGCAAATTTCAAGATTCCATTGTTTTGTTTTCTGCTGAGTAATACTCCATTGTGTAAATATACCACATTTCCTTTATCAATTCTTCAGTTGAGGGGCACCTAGGTTGCTTCCAGGTTCTGGCTATTACAAATAATGCTGCTATGAACATAGTTGAATATATGTCCTTATTGTGTGAATGTGTATTCTTTGGGTATATACCCAAGAGAGGAATTGCTGGATCTTAAGCTAGACTCATTCTCATTTTCCTGAGAAACCACCATACTGATTTCCAAAGTGGTTGTACAACTTTGCACCCCTCCCTGCAATGGACAAGTGTTCCCCTTTCTCCATAGCCTCTCCAGCATAAACTGTCATTAGTGTTATTGATTTTAGCCATTCTGATAGGGGTAAGATGGTATCTCAGAGTGGTTTTGATCTGCATTTCCCTGATGGCTGAGGATGTTGAGCACTGAATTGGTTCATAATGTGTAAGTGTTTTAGATTGTGATCAAGTCAAATATGTGATCAAGTGGATTCTGTGTAAGGATTTACTCCATAATCTCATTTTGTGCCTGGTTATTGCCCAGTTTTTCATCAGCCAGTGAAGCTTCTGTGTGGCAAGAGCCCTTATTGTCAGTATTCATCAAGCTGACTGTGATAAACCCTAAGCTCTTAAGACCCTCAGAATCATTGTTCCCATTTTCATACCATTCCCCTTGTCTTGATTATCCAAAACTCCACTCCTCACCGCCCAATGACTCACCCCCATACTATTTCATACCAAATTAGAACAATAAAAGCACTTAAACATCTCCTCTGATACTTCTCACTGCTTTACTTTTTGTCTTTATAGTAAAAATGAGTCAAAGTTCTCCTCTTAAAAGAATCTCTCATTCACACACACGCACACATACACAAAAAAAAAAAAAACTTTATCTCAAAACCAGTTTTAGTGGAAGTTTGGAGGTTTTGTTGTTGTTGTTGTTATAACATTTACAGTGACAGAACTAATCCTTTTTATATCCACTTTGAAGCTACTTTGATGATTATTACTCCAAGAGGAAATCAAACAGACCAAGTACAAAGTTCTGTTTCCTGTTTTATACTCTCACTGGGTACTGTTCACTTTCTGTTGTTCTAATCATAACTCAGAACTCTGTAGATATTTCACATTTTTTAAAAAAAATATTTAGATGTCCATTGTTTCTTTTGGCTGTAGGATCAGAAAATTTTAGTTGATGGTCACTTGACCCATTATTGTGCCTAGGAAAGACAGACCTTTGGGATGGAGAGTACTTAGAGGAGTGAACTGTCTCCTTCATGGATTCTGGGACAGAAGTGAGAGAGGAGACCAAGGTTCTAATATCCACTTCAAGAGCACACTCCCAAGACTCCGTGTTCTTCCAACAGTCCCCCTCTCTTAAAGGAGACCACCTGGGGATGAGGTCTCCATCAGACAGACTTTGCAAGACATTTAAAATGATAATCCTGGCAAGAGCCCAACTTGTAAGAGCAGTTGAAGTAATTCTGGGCTAGCCTTTAGAGAGTATGTTCCTGGAAGAGTAGGTATGGGGTGGAACAGCTACTTCCTGGATGTGTACACTATTGCTAATGAGCAAAACCAAGTCCACCTCTGACCTAGGGGCTAGGTTGGTGGGGTGCTTTTCAATGAGGAATGATTCTATTGTTTGGGGACCTCAGTCCTGGAAAGGCAGAGGAATATGTGATTTTTATGTTTCTAAAGGATTTACATTTATAAAGATTATTCTTCAGGTTTTTAAGTGAGATATTTCTGTGACCCTAAAAATGTTTTAAGAGATTTTGTGTTATTAGTGTACATTTTCATTGGATTTGGTGGCAGATACCTATAATCCCAGCATGTGGAAAACAGAGGCAGGCAGACAAAGCTCTGTGAGTCCTGGTCTACAGCATGAGTTCCAGGACAATCAGAACTACACGGTCACCTCTCTCTCTCTCTCTCTCTCTCTCTCTCTCTCCCTTTCTCTCTTCCCCTCTCTCTAATATATTTAATTTTTATTTGTTGTTGTGTGATTATGTTCTTTTAAGAATAGTTTAATTTATCAAAACACTTTTAGAAAGATACATACACAGAAATATGTTACTGAGCTTAATTCAATCTAAACAAAATATACTCAAAAAATCTGTTTCTTCAATATATTGCACATGAACGGACTAAGTTCAAGAATTTTCAATGACAATTTTTTTAAAGAAGTAGTAATTGTTTCCTTCATCTTTTTTTTTTCCAATATCACCAAAGAAAGAGCTTTGTGCATTCAGAAAAGGATAAGTCATCAAGTCCTAGTTTTAATCCTATAAAACAGTGGCTTCCCAACTGTCCTGACCCGGTGTGTGGCTCTCCCAGTTGTCCTGATGGCCTGCTATTTCTCACTAAATTTCTCTGCCAAATATCAAGCCGTTTATACCCTCTGCATGTTCCACTTTCCAACAGTCATGATGTCTATCACTTCATTTAACTCCCCAGTGAGCAACCAAAGAGTTATTTTGAATCTTTGCTATTCTCAGCATTTTAATCTTGCCAAGTCTTCAGGCCTATTTAATCTTTTCATTTACTGTTCCTGCAGTCATTTGTGACTTTGTTTTTTACCAGTTCTGTGAGCCAATAGCAATGAAAGTCAGTGTCTATTCTGACCCATTGTGCAAATAGAGTTAATTAATAACGTTTAATCAATGCCTAGCCTTTTCCTGTAACTCAGAGAAATGTCATTAAAAGCTATTCTAAGTCACATTTTATATGGTCTTGATTTTTTTAAGCTCATGTCTAAACTATTACATATTGCTTTAAATATGGTATTTTATTACATCTGTGTATTTAAATACTATATATATTATATTCTGCAATACATTTGCATGTTATTTTGTGAATTATAAAGACACAGAACACCAGGTCTGAATTTTTGAAGAATTGTTCAAAATTCTCCTAATAGTAAAAGTTTTCAGGAAAGGAGATTTGAGCAGAATGTGTTTCTCAAATCAGGATATTCCATGTACCACATAGCACATATTGACTACAGAATACTGAAAAAATAAAGAAATGCCAAGAAAAGATATTAAAATCACCTACAGTCTCCCCTTTTAGATAAAATCATTATTAAAAGCTGTTCCTTATTGCTATTACTTTTCCCAGCACAGTAGGTAGTTACTAGAACATACTAAGCCTTAGTTTAAAAGCAGTGATTGAATAGTGAATTATGAATCAAATGTCCACATGAGGGAGGGAGGCTTCAAAAGAAAATTGGATCATATAGGTATTTCTTTATAATGACATTTTCACATAAAGTATTTCTGGAAGTTACATATATTCACGTTCTCCATCCGTATTTCTGGGAGAAATGAATCCTTCTCACCCCACATCCTCACAGTTGCGTCTCCTGGCTGCTGCTCATTCCTTCCAGAGCGATAACTCGCCTTTCCCAGCTGTGGCACAACAAACACCCTTGCACACTGTGGGTCTTACAGCCTCTCTCCCTCCGCCAAGGATGCAGGCCTCATGCTTTCCTTCTGAGAACGCATGCAGCCCCAGAAATCCAAATCCAAGATTTCACTCCTAGGAATTAGCCTAAGTCACAAAAGAAAGCTTCAACTGAGCGAGAAGCAAAAGGACATTCTGGTTCTAGAGAGGCAAACACCGGACGATGCTATTTTCCTGTTACCTGTTAAGAAGAAAAGTTAATCTAAAGCGGTACTTTTTATTTTTGTGCCTGCAGGAAACAATGGCTTTTAACTCTTCTCTTCTGAGACCCCGCGTGATTGGGGAGTGGATTGGCAGAGCAGAAAACGATGCTGATCCCCTTGCTGCTGAGATGCTGCAGCCCCCGGTGCCAAGGAGTAAGAATGACCCATGGGAAAGTGAAGAGAGCTGCTCGAGCCCAGCAGGAAGGTGAGGTGGACCTCCTTGGTGAATCTGTGATAGCAGTCATTGAGCAAGAAAGGGAGATAAACCTAAGTACACGGTTACCTTCTTTTCATAATGAAAATTGTTGAACTGCATATGATAAAAAATTAACTAGATTTTTCATTCCATAATGTGTCCTAAAATACATAATTGGACTCATTAGAAAAGTAATGATTTACTCTGTTTAAAACTTAAGGCAGTCTTAAGATGCTTGCCTCAGTCTGGCAATCTGAATTTGATCCTCCTGAGGGACTACATGATGGAAGGAAAAACTCCCTCAGATTGTCCTCTAACCTCCATATATGTTTGAAATGAGCATAAAACTCAAGTGCATCAACAAACACATATCCACTAAGATAAAAAAAAATAGACAAACACAATTGTAGAAAAAATTCTTTTAAAAAGATAGTGTTATTTAGATTTTGTTCTTGAAATCCTTTTTCCTCCTCTGGGCAGTCCTGCACTTGAACTTGGGTAGACATCTAGCAGGCAAGGATTTTGCCTCTGGGTATCACACCTGGGGTTGTGTTTTGATTTTTTTCTTTCTTATTTAAGTAAGCTGTATCTCTTTGTTCTGACACCAAGTGGAGAAATAACTTCACGATTTTAAGCTGCAAGTAAACACCAGCTAGAACACTGGGCAGTGGGTTAGGAGTTGGATAAGGGAGAATCTAATGTGTTAGGAAGATGAGGAGGCAGGTTTGGTGTTAGAGCACTAGCTAAAAACTTACAACATCATCTGCAGGCAGCAGGCATGGAGAGAGCCAAATTAGGCCTGGTTATGGGCTTATGAATCCTCAAACACACCTCCAGTAAACACCTCCCCCCAAGGCTACCCCTCCTAATCCTTCCCAAACAGTCTATCAACTGGGAACAAAACATTAAAATATATTAGCCTATGGTGACATCATATTCAATGACCTTTACATATAACTCTCATTTTACTCAGACTCTGGTTCCCAAAATGGTGGTAGGACATCTGCCATAAGCATCCATGTACTGAGGCACAGCAACATGAAAAAGTAAGATCATGTTTGTTAGATAAAGCATATTCATCTTTATTACCGTTTTGGGTCATATCACCATAAGAAACACAAATTCAAACAGAAACAGGCAAGTCAAGGAAGCTGGGGTGCAAATCATTATGGGAGGCAAGAGTTATAAGACAGGGATAAATGCATTTAAGTAATAATGAATGAAAAGATGGCAGGGCCATGAGTCCCTGAGACTACTATTAGCTGGTCACTACTGAAGGCTTTTTTTTCTGCACATCATAGCCATGGGAACTTTGCATTCCCTATGTTAAATTTACTGTCAACCAACAGGTATTTTTCCCTCAAGGAGAGAAAATTGTGTTTTCTTTAATGTAATAGCTTTCAAGGTTGCTTGGCTCTCACTTACTACTTGGCTTAAGGGAAAAAAAGTTCAGAATACTCATTTATGTGCTTCAGGTTTAGAGAAAATTGATTCCATTTCCATGAGAAATAACCTTAAATTATTGAAATAGTTGAATTGCCCTGAAAGGAGAAGCAAGCCATTTCTGAAAGTCCACTTCTCTTCTGGGAAATGCCAGATCAATTTCACCTGTCAATGAGGGCCATTTCGTTCCTAATGCCAGGCTTATGAAACTCAATAGATCTTTATCTTTATTCATTGGTAGATCTTTAATTCTGAAATGCAAAATGGAGAAATGTCAACTTCCATCTTGCTTTCATTTATTCATAATAATATTCAGAGCTGTTTACTGCAAATGTTAGTGCCTCTAGTTTCTTCCTCACTTCAGTGAGCTCTTACTCCCCTGTAACTTTCAATCCTAGTTGGATCCCTTGCTCAGTCCATGAGACCCTTTCTCAAATATTTGTCTTTGTGTCCTAAAAGGCCACCTCAGCCTCACAGCACTCTGTATTTAAAATATGAGTTGAGATGTCACTTATGGATTGACAAGGTGACAAAGTCCTGGCTAAATCCCAATTACTTCAGAAACATTGCATGTACATAGAAATCACGGGTAGAAAAAAAGTGATAACTCAGGTTCCAAACTATTTCTCCTATTTGCAGTTTCAAAACAGGACCCTGGATTTGTGCTGGGGCTCACACAGCATCTGAATGAATAAGAGATCATGAAGAGAACATTCTCAAGGTTCTAGTGTATAATTACAGAATTAGCCATTGTCAGCAAATAGTAATACACATGCTATAACTTGACAGTCAATATTATACACTGAGATTCTAAGCATAATGATATTCTAAACTGCTCCCAGAAAATTTGTTTTCAATCTTTATTTCATCCATTTTTTCTTTTCTCAGCAAGGCTGGCACATAGCTATTTTCAATAAATATCTGTTACATGAGTGTAGGAGGTGTGGGCTATCACTAGGCCCAGGCTAAATTGAGCTTATTCACAAGAAAACTGTAGACAGTCTGTTTTTGTTATTAGTTCCCTGCTCTAACTTGGCCTTTCCTGTAGAAAGGAAGGAAAAGAGACAAGCATCTTGTCTGAGTGGTCATTATTGCAATGCTCAGCACATAAAAAACTTTTTTTATTTTAATTAGAAAGAAAATTATTTTACATGTCAATCCCAGGTCCCTTTACCTCCAACTAACATCCTACCTATCCCATACCCTTACTGTTCCCAAGGGAGGGTGAGGCCTTCCATAGGGGGGTCTTCAAAGTCTGTCTTATTCTTTGGGATAGGGCCTAGGCCAACCCCCTTGTGACTAGGCTCAGGGAGTATCCCTCCATGTGGGCAGGCTCCCAAAGTCCATTCCTATGCTAGGTATTAGTACTGATCCACTACAAGAGATCCCATAGATTTCCAAGGTAACCTCACTGACACCCACAACAGAAGAGAGCAAGGTAAGAGATAATATAGTAGAGGGAGACATTATAGGTTTAAAGAGAAATGTCTGGGGAGCTACAAAGATGACCCCAACTAACAATCTAAACAACAGAGGAGAGGCTACCTTAAATGCCCTCTCCTGATAATGAGATTGGTGACTAATTCATATGACATCATATAGCCTTCATCCAACAGCTGGTGGAAGTAGAAGGAGACACCCACAGCTAAACCTTGAACTGACCTGGAATCCAGTTGAAGACAAGGAGGACTGATGAGCAAAGGGGTCCACACCAGGCTGGTGAAACCCAAAGAAACAGCTGACCTGAACAAGGGAGAGCTCTTGGTCCCCAGACTGATAGCTGGGACAACTTTTTATTTTATGATAAATAACAGATACATAACTAACTAGGCCTTCACCACTAGACTAGAGAATTAAGCCAATGACAAACCAAACCTTGAAAGTCTTATGGACAGAAACTTACCTAAAATACTGTCTTGGAGCTTTTATTAGAAACAACATTCCTTAACTATTTTCTTTATGGGGCTGGAGAGATGGCTCAGTGGTTAAGAGCATCAGCTATGCTTCCAGACAACCCAGGTTGAATTTCCAGAACACACATAGAAGCTCACAACTGTCTGTAACTTTAGTTCCAGGGGACCTGACACCAATAGCAAAACACCAGTGTACATAAAATAAAAATAAATACATTAAACTTCCTTTTAAAACTATTTTCTTTATGCAGCTCAAATACATTATATAAAGGTGTTAGGGACAACTCCTGCTTCCATTGTTAGGAGACCCATAAGTAGATCAAGCTATGCAAATGTATGTATGGGGTTAGCTTGATCCACACAGGCTCCCTGGCTGTCGGTTCAGACTCTATGAGTTCCCATGAACTAGGTTAGTTGTTTCTGTGGGTTTTCTTGTGATGTCCTTGACCTCTCTGTCTCCTACAGTTCTTCCTTCCTCTCTTCAATAGGCTTCCCTGAACTCAATCCAATGTTTTCTTGTGGGGCTTTGCTCTGTTTCCATGGGTTACTGGATGAAGACTCTCTGACAATTAGAGTAGTCACTAATCTGATTACAGGAGATGGCCATTTCAGGCTACATATCTACTATTGCTAGGAGTCTTAGCTGGGGTCATCCTGGTAGATTTTTGGTATTTTCCCTTGCATCATGTTTCTTCTTGACTCTGAAATGCTTCCCCTTCCGGTAGTCTCTTTTAGTACTCTTTTAGTACTCTCACCCTCCCTCCATCCTCAACCTGATGCCTCAAGTTTCCAACCCCACTCATCCCCAGTCTACAAGGAGATTCCTTCTATTTTTCTTTCTCGGGGAGATCTGTGTGCCCCACCTTGGGACCTCCTTGTTACCTAGTCTCCATTGTCTGTGGATTGTAGCCTAGCTATCCTTTACTTTGAAGCTAATATCCACTTATGAGTGAGTATGTACCATGTTTGTCTTTCTGAGTTTAAGTTACCTCACTAAAATTTTGTTTTCTAGTTTCATCCATCTGCCTTCAAATTTCCTTGTGTCATTGTTTTTAACAGCTGAGTAACACTCTACTGTGTAAAAGTAATATCTTTTCTTTATTCATTCTTTAGTCAAGGGGAATATAGGTTGTTTTCATGTTCTAGCTATTACAAATAAAGCTTCTATGAACATAATTGAGCAAGTGTCCTTGTGGTATGATTAAGCATCCTTTGGGTATGTGCCCCAAAAATGGTATACCTGGATCTTGTGGTAGACTGATTCCCAAGTTTCTGAGAAATCACCATATTGATTTCCAAGGTGGCTGTATAAGTTTGCATTCCCACCAGTGATGGAGGACTGTTCCCCTTGCTCCACATCCTCTACACAATAAGCTGTCATTTGTGTTTTTGATCTTAGCTATTCTGACAGGTGTAAGATGGAATCTTATAGCTATAGTAATAAAGACAGCATGATATAGGCATAAAAAACAGACAGGTGGATCAATGGAACCAAATCAAAGACCCAGACAAATCCATATACCTATTGACACCAAATATTTTACAAAGAAGCCAAAAAGGAGACTATCTTCAGAAAATGGTGCTGTTATAACCGATGCTGGCATTAGAAGAATGCAAATAAATCCATGTCCATCACCATGCACAAAACTCAAG